GGGGGGGTCTAGGGCAAGGTCCTCAGTGCAGTTTGGCGCACACTGCGCCTCTCTTACCATATTTGTTGGTGTGTGAGTGTCAGTTTTAAGGGCTTTGCAGTGTTAATGATAGCCTCGTGCGCACAAGGCTATTTTCACACGCTTCACCCACATCGTCTCTAAATCTCACAGCAGTCCCGCCAGACGGGCCCTGTCAGCCCCGCGTTACAGGTACAGACGGGGATGCTGGCGCTAGCAGATGTTAAGTAACTTCTCCAGCTGAAGGTCCCACAGTTAGGAGGTAATACGGCGCGTTTGATACTAGAGACGTTTCACAAGCCCTGGGGCCTCCTGCCTCCTCGAGGAAGAACGCGTTCCGTTGCAAGGCCGCCTCTCCGCACGGATTGTAACCTCGTATTTTCTCATATGACACAACCCAGAAGGAACAGGGTATCACTTCAGCTGACAAACAGCCATCTTTCACAATACAACTTAAAAATGTCCTGTGAATCCTTTTGCTAAAAGTGTATGACACCCTGTAATTTTCCCCGTAATGTGAATTTATGTCCGTTAGAGATGGAGCTCGGGGAAAGAAAATGAAGAGGAGAGAGGGAAAGAACCTTTAGGTGGTACAATATTATATTATTTCAGGTGTACAGCATAGTGATAAGACATTTATGTACCCTACGGAGTGACTGCCTGAAAAATTTAGTACCCACCTGACACCAAACATAGTTATTACAATATTATTGACTATATTCCCCATGCTGTACTCTACATTCCTGTAACTACTTTTATAACTGGCCATTTTTACTTCCTAACCATGAAAGGAAAACTTGTACAACAAGCCTCCTATCACTGAACATCTGGGTTGCTTCTCAGTTTCTGCTATTTTAAATAATGCCTCAGTGGCCACCCTTAAAACTTGAGCACATTCCCAATTACTTCTGTAAGACAACTTGCAGGAAATACAGGGTGTCCCCCAAAATGTATACATACTTAGTATACATTATTAATTCCAATGGGTTAAATCTGAAAAGAAAGAAACATCAGTTGAGCTATCAGCTGTTAAAATGTGTATACATTTTGGGGGTCACCCTGTACAAAAGCTACCAGCTCAGACTTCCCAGCCCTGGCCGAGGTCAAGGGGCACAGCTGTCCCATGACACCCTGGGAGTCAAACCAGAAACCCTCAGGCCGCTCCGCTCTCCTTTCAGATCGATGCCTTGCCCGAAGTGGTGGCTGCCGTGAAGGGGAAGCTGGAAGTGTACCTGGACGGTGGGGTCCGGACGGGCAATGACGTGCTGAAGGCTCTGGCCCTTGGGGCAAAGTGCGTCTTCCTGGGGAGGCCAATCCTGTGGGGTCTCGCCTGCAAGGTGAGACCAGAGTGAAAAGCAGCCGGGAGGTACCGCGTTTCTCATTCCTTCCCATGCTTTTCTGTGGTTTAGCCCCCAGGCGTAACCGTTTTTCGAGGTGCCACAGATCCCTGAAGGACGGACACACTGGCCCTCATCTTCATGCTCCCTCTGGCGTGTTGCAGATTTGCAAGAGCTCCCCCCTTCTTTGCTCTTGGTGTTTCTTTGTTTCCCAGATACCTTTGTGCTCCTCACCACGTCGCTGAGCACACCTAAAATTTATACTCCGTTCACGGTCGCAATGTTCCTTCATGCCTGTCTCCCCACCCCCCCCAGGGTGAGCATGGCGTCGGGGAAGTCTTGAACATTTTGAAAGATGAGCTCCACACCTCCATGGCCCTCACGGGTGAGTGTGTCCGGTTTTATCCTGATTTGGACCTGAGAGCGGGAGGCTGAAGAACAGGAGTGGTGGCCCCTCCTTCTAGCCACCTCTCCCAGCCCAGGGGTGACAGAAGAGTCGGCAGGGCAGAAGTGTCCCAGACAAAGATTCGTCTTTGATACATCTTAACCGTGAAAGGACAGTGTCTATAACAAACCTCCTACTATTGAACATCTCGATCGCCTCTCAGCTTCTACTGTTTTAAGCAATGCATCTGTGACTTACTTCTGTAAGACAAATTCCAGGACTCCCAGTCCTTGCCCAGATTGGGGGCACCACCGTCCCATGATTAAGATGCACAGAAGCAAATGTGATTTCACAGTATGGGAAAGAGGCTCCAGGAGACTCCAGACTGTTCAGATCATGCTCGCTGGATGTGGTTCTGAGTGTCCTTGTTGTTGGTTTTCTAATGTTTTTATTGATTTTGGAGAGAGAGAAAGGGAGAGGGAGGGAGAGAGAGAAACATCTATGAGAGAAACATCAATCCGCTGCCTCCTGCACGCCCTCGACGGGGGATCGAGCCCACAACCCGGGCATGTGCCCTGAGCGGGAATCGAACCGTGGCCTCCTGGTTCATGGGTCAATGCTCAACCGCTGAGCCACACCGGCCAGGCTGAGCCAAGCAATATTCATGGGCTGTGACTAGTCGGAAAATCATGTCAAAGAGGAAGCAGGGAGGGACTGGGGAGAGAGAGACAGTCAGGAGAAGAGAAGGGGGAGAAGCATCGTCCCAGATGCCAGACAGCCAGACAGACGTGAGTCTCAGAGTTACATGGATTTCAGTCAGAAATGAAATTATTGTGAAGTGGGGCTCATACAAACTTCTAAGTTTTTAGCAAAGTCTGGAATGCCAGTGATCCCGCAGAACAGTGGTTCTCAGCTAATGATGGAAACTTTCCTCTCAAGGGCATTTAGTTTGGGGTTTCTAGTTTGTATTGTTCTAATTCTAAGTGAATCAATTCTAAATGAGCCAGTGTCACCAGCTTCTCCCATGAGGGAAGGGAGGGCACAAATGTGAACAGGGAGCATGTTGGGGGGCAATGGGGAGAGGGATGGGAAGACCTATGGGCATCTGTGGACCCAGGAGGTTGAGATAACTTGTCCTGCTCCCCAAATAGTTTCCCCTGTTCTTGGACAATGATGTCTGAGCTTCTTTTAACAATAACCCGATTGGGAAATTCACAATCACAAAGCTTCATTTTCCCCCCGGAAGTTAAGTTACCACTGAGTGTAAACGGAGGCCAGAAACTCTAGGTCTGAGGCGGAGTGGAACAGCCTTTTTTAAAGGGCAGGAAAAGAGAAAGAAAGAACAGGATTGCGAGCATTTTTCTGCCTGACTTTCTGTACGCCACTCTCTTCTAACTGTCCCACGACGAGAATGTCTTGTTTTAAATGTATAGAAAAAGTAGTCATCACAATGAAACAAGGGTCAGGGGAGAGGATTCAGGGAGGCAGAACAGAAAACCCAGCCGAAAGGGCACCCCTGGCCATCCTTCTGTTTAAGAGATGCTGCCCCAGAGAGAACCCCCCAATTCATCTCTGGAGAGAGGGGATCTCAGGTTGGGGGCCTGGGCTTTGGGTGGAACTCAGCAAAGTACAGAATCATGATGTGAAGCCCCAGAGATTGTGTCACTCCCTGGCCCTTCCCTGCACAGCGCACGGTGACACCTGACACAGAGTCAGCGCCCAGGAGGTGACAGTCAATATGACCTTTGACTCCTAATTTCCCTGGAAATGTGTAGTATTTCCCCCTTACGTCCCTGTGACATCACAGCCCTGGGAGGAGAATTCTGTGAATACTATTGCTGAAAACAAAGGAAGTTTAAAAGTATTGTTTTTCCAACTGTGAGACAAATTTCTGAAATCTTTATATTTATCAAAAGGTTAAAAATGATGATTTGTCTTGAAAAACAAAAATGACCACGTATAAATCGTATCAACACAAGGCTGGACAGAACTCATTAAGGTTTCATCCATCCCTTGTTGACGTAAGAACATCCAAAGCTGTAGAGAATTTTTTATAAAAATTAATTTGAGCCAAACAGAGAGTACTCCTGGACACAAGAGAGATTAATTTTCAACAGAGATAAGTGTGTCCAAGAAAGGACAGTTGGGCAGCTGCTTTTCCACACTGGGACTTAAGAAGGGACTATTACGAGGTGCGTCCTTTCAATGCCTCAAGGTGGGAGAAAGCAAGGCAGGGAGTGGATTACAGGACAGTTAATAACACTACCTGCTCTCTGGAGGGTGCTGGCTTCTGAAAAGAGGCGTTGAGACATCTCAAAGGTGCATTAACCTAGATGCACAGAAACAATGGGCAGGGCTTGCTTCAGGCAAAGGTCAACCTTTTACTAAAAAGGTTATATGGCTGGGGTATGATTACCCACCACATCTGCCCAGTTGGGAAGTTATAATCAGATCACCCTGTGAGGTTACTTTCCATAAACCCTGTCCCCTTTTTTTGGTCCACAGTTTAAATATTATTTTCCCTACAATACATAGCCAGAGATTTTATTTTGGCATCTCTGTGCTCCTTGAGTAAGTCTGTCTGCTTTGAAGTCCTTCTGTTCTCTGCCCCGTGGAAACCCAAGGCTCCCAAGGTCATTGCCAGTTCTGGGGAGAGTGCCGTGGCTCCGAACCCCTGCTTCTGCTGGATCAGTTCAGTTTACGGGTTCTTTCTGCCGGCTGTTTCCGTCCATTGCAATCATCCCAGGCATGAAACTCAACTCTTTCCTCTATCTCCATTCTTAGGAAAATACCCTCTTTTGAGTTACAGTTTTGCAAGTAATGCATTTTGCTGAAGTTATGTTTTGGGAGGTGACGGTGCATACGTCAGAGATGTGGAAAGAACTTCCAGGGAAACATTACAATCCTGTTATTAAATTCTAGCAGCCTTCTCCACACCAGGGGGGTCTCGCTGCTTCCTTCAGCCCACAGTTCTCCAGCCCGTGGGTCATGCGGCTCCTCTCTCCCTCCTCTTTTCACTTGTCTGAAGTTACTCTCTTCAGTCCCTGTGCCTAATCTCAGCTACCATCCTAAGTCTGCACTTTAATGAAGGCCCTTTCCTACAGGAGAGGGGTTCATTTTTCAGAGCTTCTCCTTAGAGGACAGTTGCTGTGTAAAATTCCCCATCTCCTACGCTGTCTCTGAGTCACTTCTTCCTTGGAAGATATGGCCTGCGTCCCTGAGCCAGCCTTATCAGGACCCAGATAAAGGTCAAGGGTATCTACTGCACACATGAATTGCTTTTAAAATGTCAAAATGTTGTTTTACATTTTTTACCATGCCATTTTGACACGGCTGTCGAAAGAGGGCCCAAGCGCCCAGCCGGCGTGGCTCAGTGGTTGAGCGGGGACCTGTGATCCAGGAGGTCACAGGTTGAATCCTGGTCAGGGCACATACCCAGGTAGTGGGGTCGATCCCCAGTAGGGGGCATGCAGGAGGCAGCCAATCAATGACTCTCTCATCATTGATGTTTCTATCTCTCTGAAATCAATTTTTTAAAAAAGTTTTAAAAAAAAGGTCCCAAGCACAAATAATTGATGAAATAATCCCCAGTGCAATCAGAATGACATTATTCAGTCTGGATACATAATATTTCCTCAGGGTGAGCACCAGCGTCAAGCCGGGGCTCGTTCCCATCGGCCCATCCACCCCCAGGATGGGGTGGGTTTCTGGGGCTTCGGAGAAAGGAGCTTTTCAAGTGCATTGTGCTTCTAGGCTGCCGGTCCGTTGCTGAGATCAACCAGGACCTGATCCAGTTCTCCAGGTTGTAAAGAAAGTGCTGGCGATGGGACTGCCGAGGTGGCCCGCAGAGGAAGACAGTCAGAGCGTGTGTGACGCCCTCCTGCCCAGGCCCTTCCCTTCCAGCAGCCCCACGGCTTCACCCCCGCGCATCGGGCCCCCACCCTCATGCTCCTCCAGTGTGCCGGGCCCCCCCTGCCCGCTGCTCCTCACATGCTGCTCCCCACCTGAAATGCCCCTCAGAGAGAAAAGGGCACTTGATGATCTCAACACTTAGCAGGTGAAATGTTTCCATACCCCCTACATCTCTGTGAAACATCTGTGAACATCTGCATTCTGGACCGAAGAGCTATCAGTGCCAAATACCCCCAACAAAAAAATCATACTCCTGTCTGTAGATGATAGGGAAATAAGACAGTTTAAAGCATAGGCTTTGGAGCCACACAGACGAGGGATTAGGGGTTGACAGGACAGCTACAGACCAGCTGGGGGACTGGAAAGTTTTGCAATATCTCTGTTTTCTTGTCTTTGTCTATCAGATAGGGATTATATCACCAAACTCCCTCGGTTGGGAGAAAGATTAAATGAGATGATGTATGTAAACTTCAGAGCATAATGTTTAGCACCCTGAAGAAGTTTAAGAAAGAGTAGCTTATATTATTGCTGCTAGACAAATTCCTATTCATGTTTGAAGACCTCATTCAAAGGTTACCTGTTCTCACCCGTGCTACTTGCTAGGTGCTTCCAACTGAACTGTGCGTATTCCACTATTACAACCCTTATTACAATGTGTTATATTTATTTATTTGCCTGTCTCACTCCACAAATAGATTGTACATTATTTGTGGGATGGATGCATGGATATATGGATGGATGGATGGATGGATGGATGGATGGATGGATGGATGGATGGATGGGTGGATGGATGGATGGATGGGTGGGTGGGTGGATGATGGCTGGCTGGCTGGCTGGATGGATAGATGGATGGGAAAATTGGTGGGTGGATGGGTAAATGGGTGGGTGGATGGACAGACAAGATAAATGGATGAAAAGAGAGATGGAAAAATGAGTGGAGGCCCTAGCAGAGTAAAAAACTCCCAGACCAGTAGTGAGCTAAAACAGACTTCTAGAGCAGGGCACCCAGCTAAGTAAGATCTCACACTTGAAGACAACAAGAAAGCTAGAGATGGAAATCAATGTCCTAAATAGGCAACCTCAAACTGTTTTCCCCACGTTCTCTCTTGCTCCTTGTTACAGGCTGTTCTCTATACAACAACCAGAGAGGTGTGTGTTTTTAAGTAGAAGCAAATCCTGTGTCTCACCTGTTAAAGCCTATCTTTGGCTAGATCCAAGATTCCAAGGAATATGAGCAAAGATATAAAGATCATGCCAAAGGCTGTTCTCAGAAGGGACTTCTTGGCCCCTGAAAAGGTCCTACATTAGAATTCATGGTAAAAAGGTGAAGAAATCTCCACTGGAAAGTTTTCAAAGATGGAACAGAATGCCGGGTATCTGAGAGATAAGCATTTTTTTCCGATAATGAGCATCAGCTTTGAAGTCACTCCAGGGTCAGGCTGCCAGGATTCAGACTCTGGCGTCACTGTCCTCGAGATGTTTGGCAAGACTAAAGACATCTTTGTCTTCCTCCATTAAACAACAATACCAATCTCTTTGGACTGTCATCGTGAAAATTAAATGACATGAGGGACTTCTGTTTCCCAATCCAGGATGTGAGGAGCTTAGAGGTCTCCACTCCAACCTAACAACAAGCTGAACAGACTGAAAAATTAACTTCTCTCAATCCTTCAGAAAAGTGAGGTCACAGGGCAAATCACTGCCCCCCCAATTAGAGAGACAGGCAGGTTCAGAGAATCACAACTTATCTGAGCAGAAACCTGTGAACGAGAACCTCCATGAAAGCTACACCAAGGTAGGGAAGCTGAGCTGTAACTGATGAATTGCTGCAGGCTCCACGTGGCCCAGCCTGTCGCACATTTACTTCCTCCGAGCCCCAGCTGCCTCTCCCAGCCTCTCCCAGCTCATATCTTTCTATCTACCTTCTCTAACAAAAAAAGGTGAAGGTGATTAAGAACTATAAACTGCCAGGTACAAGGTTAACGTACAGAAGTCCATTGCTTTCCAATACACCAGTAATCAACAAGTGAAATTTGGATTTACAAACACAATACCAATTACCCTATCACCCAAGAAGAGGAAATACTTAGGCATAAACCTAACAAAATGTATACAAGACCTATGTGAGAAAAACTCTGATTAAAGAAATCAAAGAGGAGCTAAGCAAGTGGAGAGATATTCCATGATCATGGATAGGAAGATGTACTATGTCAGGATGTCAGTTCTTCGCAGCGTGATCTATAGATTCAATGCATCCCAATCAAAATCCCAGCAAGCTATTCTGTGGATACTGACAAACTGATTCTGACATTTATGTGGAGAGGCGCAAGACTCAGAATAGCCAAGATATTGAAGGAGAACAGGCACAGCAATGACACTACCCAACTTCGAGACTTACTGTAAAGCAACACTAATCAAGACAGTGGGGTACTGGTGAAAGGACAGATAAACAGGTCCATGGAACAGAACAGAGAACCTAGATATAGACCCATGTATAGTCAACTGGTCTTTGACAAAGAGGCAAAGGCAATACAATGGAAAAAAAGATAGTCTTTTCAACAAATAGACATCCACATGCAAAAAGTAAAAAAGGATCTAGACACTACCTTACATCTTCACAAAAAAACGAACTCAAAGTGGATCATAGACCTAAATGTAAAATGCAAAACTGAAAAAGCTCTTAGAGCATAACCTAGGAGAAAAATCTTGGTGAGCCTGGGTACGGCAATGATTTTAAGATACATCACCAAAGGCACCATCCATGAAAGAAATAATACGGTGGACTTTATTAAAATTAAAAACTTCTGCTCTGAGAAAGACACTGTCAGGAGAATGAGAAAGAAGTCACACATTGGAAGAATGTAATTACAAAATATATATTTGATAAGATGATGGGATGTTCCCCGATATCGACAAGATCCTGGAGACACAGACGAACTGTACCTGGAGTTGGAAAGGAAGATGGTCCGTAGGGGAAGATGGTGGAAATGCCTCCGCTGAAGGCCCGAGGGCGAAGGAACTGAAAGCACAAACATCGCTGGTGTGATCCTGTCAGGAACCATCCTTTCCAGAAAACCAGCTTCACAAAAGAAGCCTACAAGAAGTACATCGACATTACATGAAATCAATCAAAGGGAAACTGGAAGAACAGAGACCAGAATGAGTGAAGCCTTTCATGACCGGGGCTGCAGAACAAATCAAGCACATCCTTGATCATTTCAAACACTACCAGCTCTCTCTTGGTGGAAACATGAATCTAGATGGCATGGTTGCTCTGCTGGACCGCTGTGAGGACAGGGTGACCCCATATATGATCTTCTCTATGGATGTGTTGTAGGCCATGGGAGCCGCACCAAGTGTTAGACCAGTGGGGTCAGACCGGACCTGGGTTCAGCAACCTCCATACTTGAGTTCTGGCTAGAAAAGAATTCAGAGCCAAGACTCAAACTATAAGAGAAAGTTTATTTAGAAAATTACAGCCCGGCCCAGCGTGGCTCAGCAATTGAGCATCGACCTAGGATCCAGGAGATTGCTGTTCAATTCCCCGTCAGGGCACATGCCCGGGTTGTAGGCTCAATCCCCAGCCAGGGGTGTGCAGGAGGCAGCCAATCCATGACTCTCTCATCATTGATGTTTCTCTCTCTCTCTCCCTCTCCCTTCATCTCTGAAATCAACAAAGATATATTTGAAAAAAATAAAAATAAATAAATAAAATCACAGAGGTAGAAGAAATAATTCCTAGAAGAAATGGGCTGAGGAAACAAGTTATAGAGGCAAAGGAAGGGCCCTTGGAGCTTGGGAGTGAGGAAGGTAATGGTTACTTGCCTGGGAGGATGGGGAGAGGGAAGGGAAAAAGCATGAGCGTGCTCCCAGGAGGGAAAGTGTGCTGGGTCTTTGGTCCCAAGCATTTTAAGGGTGGATATTTTAGGGGCAGTCCCAGGGGAAGATCTCAGTAGAATATTCAGCAGCTTTCCAGGTGTGTCCTTTCAGGGCCTAGGTCTCTAGGGATTGATTGGTCAGCGCCAGGGCAGGGAGTCATTATCGGCTGCAGCTGGGCCTGAGGTTACTTGTCAGGTTTTGCTGCTTTTCTGGGGCTGAAGCTGAAATACAACCGAGGCGTAGATGTTATCTCTAGGGAGGAATCCAAACCACCTGACCAGGGCTATGCTAGGGGAAGAAAGGTCACCCTGGAGGCTAGGTCCCACCCGACAATTGTCCTTTGCTAGGCACCCAGAGCCCTGCACCCTGGTGACCTTCTGTGGGGTCATCATTCTTGCTCGGCTCCTGCCTAACTACCTACCACATGATGCAAAAGCAGAGGCACGTCCCCACACTGGAACGCACACCTGCATGGTGGGCCCAGCCTTGCCTGGCCACTCGTGCATCAGTGTAGGACGGAAGGAGAGGAAACCGTGCCTTCTGCTCCTCAGCCTTTGCATTTTCCTAACACCTCACATTGTGTAACCCATGCTGTGTCATACTGAGGAATTCTTCCCAAACTCTGATGTCAACTGGTGGTGGCTCAGACGGGCCCCACCCTCCATGCCATGGCCTGACCTTCCCTGAGCATGGAGACAATCCAGATGTCCGGCACCATTTGTTTAAAAGACAATCCTCTTCCCCCATTGGATTTACTTGACACATCTGTCAAAATCAATTGACCATACGAACTTAGACCATTAGCTCACACCACATACAAAATTTCCCACAAAATGGATCATAGACCTAAACGTAAGGGCTAAAACTACACACCTCTTAGCAAACAACATAGGTGAACATCCTCACAACCTTGAGTTAGACAAAAATACGAGTGGTTAAAGAAAAAAAACTGAAAAATGGAACTTTATCAGAATTTAAAATATGTATGCTTCTAAAGACGTTATTAAGAAAATAAAAAGATAAGCTGAGACCGGGAAAAAATATTTTCAAATTATGTATCTATTAAAGAACTTGTGTTGAGAATGTAAAGTACTCCTACACTTCAACAGTAAGACAATAAATCACCCATTTAAAAAATGGGCATGCAAACTATGTCTCAGTAAAGCTGTTTGCAATAAAAATTTTAAAAGTGATATTGTGGCCCCTGTTTGCTTTGCCTTTTATTTTATTTCTCACTTTCTATAGAGTTTAGTTTTTTTTATTTTATTTTTCAATTACAGTTTACATTTAGTATTATTTGGTGTTAGTTTCAGGTGGACAGTATGGTGGTTAGACAATCATATACTTTACAAAGCGGTCCCACATATTTCCAGTACCCACCTGGCACCATACATAATTATTACAATATTATTGACTATATTCCCTCTGCTGTACTTCACATCCCCGTGACTAACCTGTAACAACCAATTTGTACTTCTTAGTCCCTTCACCTTTTTCACCCAGCCACCCAGCCCCTCTCTTCTCTGGCAACCATCAGTCTGATCTCCGTATCCACGAGTCCGTTTTAATTTTATTTGTTCATTGATTTTGTCATAGAGTAAACTTTTATTGGTTCTACTCAGAGACCCTGAACTCTTGTAATATTTGCTCGTTGGCTGCAGATAATTCCCAGAAAGACAGCAGCTCAATGTCTACCAGCCTCCAATGCTCCCAACAGCTGGGGGAATGAGTACCCGGGGCATGGGGGGCTTGGGGGGCATGTACAGTTCACAAACAGCACACTTGAGCAGGTAAAGGTGTGCGAGGCTCCTTGGTGGCCTCAGATGGCTCCGCGGTGGCCTCAGATGGCTCCACATGTCTCGGCCAGACCAAGGGCCTTTAACAAGTAATGACAGCTTCTGAGAACAAGCTGCTACAGCGCAGTAATTACTGAGCGATTGGAGCTGCCACCATTGCCAGTTTCTCAACTTTGCAAGAGGGCAACCTTTCAGACCACTCAGAGAGGGGACAGCGGACTAAAGCGGGCCCCACCCCTCCGCGGGTGTATCTGCATCACGGGCCAGGAATTCCCATTGTGCTGGGAGCCGTCGGCTGGTCTAGATTAAATTCACAGATTGTGGATCCCAAACAGCCGGAGCCACCTGCCCAGGGTCCTGCTGTGGTGGACCCAGGGCCCTTTATCTGCTGCGGCCTTGAAGCTGCCTCTCTCCAGAGCTTTGGCGGAAAGAGAGATAGATGCAAGCTGCAGCTCCCCGCGAGTGGGAGGAGGGATCCCGGGACAGCGAGCGGTGAATACGTAGCAGGGAGCCCAAGATAAAGAGACGGGGCCAGAGGGGACTGCGCAGAGCGCTCCAGTCCTGCCTTCGGGTGATAGGGGCACCGGAACCCAGGCTCACTCTTCTGGCTTTTAGCAATCTCGCAGGTTAGAGTTTTTTATTTTTTTATTTTTTTCTCTCAACTACTCCTGGGCACAGAGGGGCGTGGGGACGGGAGATTTTTGCAAACATGGAGTAGAGGGAGCAGGATGGCTCTGTGTGAGCCTGTACCCACCTGGGCTCTGTTCTGGGCCCTCTTCAGGGTGACCCTCCACTCCAGCTGCTCTCCGTGCCGTCCGGTTTCCCGAGAGAGCATCTTGGTTCCCAGGTGTGGCCATGGCCGGGTGGAGCTGCCTTGTGACAGGTGCTGGAGGCTTCCTGGGGCAGAGGATCGTCCGCCTGTTGGTGGAGGAGACCGAGCTGCAGGAGATCCGGGTGCTGGACAAAGTCTTCAGACCCGAGTTGCGGGAGGAGTTTTCTAGTAAGTGAACTCGCGTCGTGGGTGTGTGGCTCTATCTTCAACCCTGCGCCGGGGTGGGTCCGGAGGGGGTTCTTATACATAAGGAACATGGTAGCCAACCAAGGCTAATCCCATGTCCAAAGTCATCAGAAAGGCGGTCGCAGGTGGTGTCGTAGAAAAGATACTGGGCTGGGTGTCCGGAGATGGAACTCTGTCCCTGACCAGAACCAGAGAGGTGGCTGTCTGCCAGCCACTCCCGCCTCTGGGCCTCTTTTCTTTGCATCTACAAAATCACACCCTGGTTCTCTCCCTTGTTAACAACTCTTCAATGTTCTGAAATGTTTGACTTGGCAATTACTGTGAAACATCAACAAAGGGCAGGCAAGAGCCATTAACCTCGAGACCGCACCAGCCCCTCTCGAGAGCCCTGGTCTTTCTGTGGCTTCACTTAGCATCTCCAGTGACAGCGAAATAAACAGGAGTGAAGGTAAAGCCGAGTGTGTGTGTGCGTGTNCATCAACAAAGGGCAGGCAAGAGCCATTAACCTCGAGACCGCACCAGCCCCTCTCGAGAGCCCTGGTCTTTCTGTGGCTTCACTTAGCATCTCCAGTGACAGCGAAATAAACAGGAGTGAAGGTAAAGCCGAGAGTGTGTGTGCGTGTGTGTGTGCGTGTGTGTGTGTGTCTCAGAGACAGACATAGAGGGAGGGAGAGAATTAGAGCGAGAGAGAACAGAGAGAGTGAGAATGACAGAGGGAATCCCAATAAGAGTGGGGGGTGGCCCTGGCCAGTTTGGCTCAGTGGTTAGAGCATCGGCCCGCAGACTGAAGGGTTTGGGGTTTGATTCGGGCCCAGGGCACGTACCTCAGTTGCAGGCTCGATCTTGCAGGAGGCAACCAATGGCTGTCTCTCTCTCTCTCTCTCTCTCTCTTTCTCTCTCTCTCTCTGTCCCTTCCACTCTCCACTGCAGATGCAATGGAAAAAATATCCTCGGGGGAGAATTAACAACAACAAAAACAAAAACAATGGGGGTGGGGAGCGGAGAGGGTGCCAAGGGCACATCTCGAGGTGGCAAAAGCGCGGACACACCCCTGTGGACTCCCGCGCATCTCTTTATCTCTGTTCCTCTCCGCAAAGGTGGGGACTGCAGGCTTTGCTCGAGCAGCTCACTGCTTTTCCCCAGCTCGTTACCCCTGGTGCAAATGCAAGAGCTGGACTTAGTGTGCATTTTCCAACCTGTTTCACTCCCTAGATCCTCAAAATATTCCTGTGAGGAAAGTAGGAAAGGAGAGGGGTCACCCCATTTGGACAATGAAGAAATCAAGGTCCACAAGACAAAGCTTTGCTGGAAGCCGTCTGGGTAATGAATACCAGCCCTCAGACTAGGGCCTTTTTACAGGGACCCCATTAGTGGCCCTAGGGCTGACTCTTGACAAAGTGAGTGTCCCCTGTGTGTCCCCTCTCCCCCTTGCCAGCGTCTGCAGACTGGNAAAGTGAGTGTCCCCTGTGTGTCCCCTTTCCTCCTTGCCAGCGTCTGCAGACTGGGTGTCTACATGCTGCAAAAGAGAGGCAGAGGAAGGGAGCAGAGAGGGCAGAGGTGGGGACATAGCAGAGAAAATTTAATTCTCAAGTTGACTTCTAGCAGCTTCTGCCCTACCTTTCCCCAACTCTGGGGTCTTTTGGGGGCACAGGAAACTTGGCAGACACTTCAGTAGAGTAGATAGTTGTTCCCAGTTGTAACCTAGGAAGGAGGTTCCCCAGCCCTAACTTTTTCCCCCTGAATTTCTCTCTTACTGTTCTCTGGCCCCCACTGCCAACTTCAGCTCAATAGGCTTCTCAGTCAGCTCCAGGAATGTGCCAGTCCTGAGCTTGGGTGGCAAGGGAAGGTAAGCAAGGCTAGAAGGCAGTGACAACTGCCCCTGGAAGGCAGAGTCGTCACTCCAAGTGTGACTCAGACCTGCCCCTTTACTCTCTGAGCCCGTTTCCTCCCTGTGAAGTGGATATCGGAATACCCATCTCGCCCGGGCTGGTGTAGCTCAGTGGCAGAGCTTCTGCCTGCACACCCAAGGGCCGTGAGTGTGATTCCCGGTCAAGGGCGCGTAGCCGTGTGCATCTCTCCCCTTCTCTGCTGCAGTGCAGCCGCTGGGACCCTGGGTCCCGTCTTCTTCATCTAAACTCTGGTGCCGATGTCAGGATTGATCTCTCAACCGCTTTGCTTTCTCTCAAACCCTCCACACCAATCCACTGTGGCCAGGCTGAGCTTCCTACACCACAACTCTGTTCACGGTTCTCCACTTATTCCAAATCCATACGTGACTCCTCAGGCCCTACAGAATGAAATCCGACTTCTGACCTCTTAGGTCCGCTCTCCACCATCACCCCACTCTCCTTAATGAATCGTCTGAACTTCCCACGAGTCCCTTTAACAATATGGTGTTCCAGGCACGCCTGACCTCTCGCAGCTCAAGCTCTTCGCAGGGATGAGATCAGTAGAAGCAGACGTTTGCTATTTCCAATACGCGCTGCACGTGCTGACTTCTGTGACTTGGTTTACTTGTCCTTCCATGGAATGTGCCTCCCTTCCCACCCTCCCCCCAGTCTGCCTGTCCTTGAAGACATGGGTAAAACGCCACCGTTATCAGCAAACTCCCAGGTCCAGAAAGCCTTCCAGGGACCTGCCTGTGTTCCCACAGAGCTCCAGAGCAAGATCAAGCTGACCCTGCTGGAAGGAGATATTCTGGACGAACAATTCATGAAGAGAGCTTGCCAGGGCACTTCGACTGTCATTCACACCGCCGCCGTCATTGACGTCTTCAATGTGCTCCCGCCTGAGACCATCATGAATGTCAACCTGAAAGGTACAATACCCTGGGGAGGAGACGGAGTGGGGTGAGAGGTGAGGCTGGGACAAGAGGACAGGGCGGGAGGAGAAGCCCGGTCACTCACCACCTGATGAGCTCTGTGCTTTTGCTCAGCGCTGCCCACGGAGAGTCACGGGTCTTTAGATGAGAAAACTAGGGCTGGGAAAGGCTAAGTAGCTTTCAAGGCCCCACGGGTCAGAGAGGGGGAGCTAGAATTTAAATCTATAACTGTGTGGCTCCAGAGGCCACAGAAGCTCTTGCTAGTGCTGCTCCAATCAGGGGTGAACTAAACCCCAGCCTCCAACTCTTGATACCCAGCCACCTCCCCTGGGCGGGAACCTGGCCTTACACAAGCCTCCTCACTCGTCACTTCAGCCCTTCTGTGTGGCTCTATGGTGCTGGTCACACAGGAAGGCCAAAAACTAACAGCTCTGAGGTGAGGTGGCCCCAAGTCAGCTCCAAGCGATGGCCCACAGCTCTGGGCCGGTTTCCTTCAGGCAGGGCTTTCTGCGCAGAACGAAGCCGGAGCACAGTGGTCTGGTGCTATAGAATTATCTATCACTTGACTTCTTACAATATTTTCTAACAATAATGGTATCCCATTGTCGATAACACCATCTCTTCATCATCAGGTCTATTCTTAAAGACGATATTTCTAACCAGGTGTTAAAATATACCTTAGACCCTCCAACCTTAAAGGCTTGGTGGCTCTTTCAGAATTGTGGCTTTCCAATCCACTTAAAATCTAGATGCACTGGCTCAAGGGTTTGGCTTAAATCCCTTGTTAGCTTGCCATGTTATATCATCTGTCTGGTCCCTGGAGGCCAGCCTCTCTAGGACCACAGCACCCCATCTCCCTAGCGCATTNCTGGTCCCTGGAGGCCAGCCTCTCTAGGACCACAGCACCCCATCTCCCTAGCCCATTTGTCTTCCATGCCCTGCACTCTAAAGTTAGTCTACTCAGAGACTCCTTTCCTAAAGCAATTTATTGACTGGTCTCCAGTCAAAACCAGCACAATCTCAAAAAAGACCCCTTTGAGTTTCTAATTAGCCGCATCCCTAACCACCCCACACTGCAAGGAGCTTGCTGAGAGTAACCAGTATCTAGTGTTCAGCCCTTGCTCACAATTCCTACTCTTCACAGCTCCCAGAAACAGGAGACTTGAAATCCCTGAGAAGTGTTAAGAGGCATCAGGTGACTAAAACCAATATCACTCCCAGGTTTAGATACACTTCATGACAATTGTCATGTCCCCCTATGAAGGTAAATTAGCTCCAAATATCCTCTGCCTCTAGATTTAATTTTTCTTTTAATTGAGGCTGTCCCTCCCCAAAATCAAATTTCACAATGACCTTAAAAGGGATTTTTTAAATGCAAAAATTAAGCCCTGGCCAGTGTTGCTCAGTGGTTAGAGTGTCGGCCCATGCACTGAAGGGTCATGGGTTCGATTCCTGGTCAAGGGCAGGTACCTGGGTTGCAGGTTTGATCCCTCGCCCTGGTTGGTGTGCATGCAGGAGGCAACCAATTGATGGGTCTTTCTCTCTCACTTCTCTCTCTCTCCACCTCCTTCCCTCCCTTCCACTCTCTCTAAAAATCAATGGAAAAATCGAGTGAGAATTAACCAAAAAAAATGCAAAAAATAAAAATGATGCCTTTTACTTCACGAGCTAAGTAAGGTTCTACCCAGCTAAAGGGATTCTACCAGATGCTCCCATTATAGGTATTACCGCCAGAGGGCGCACTCTTCCCGAGTCTCCACTGAGCTCAACGTGCAAGACCAGTGCAGAATTCAGCAATGCTTAGCAGGGGGAGGGCTTATCACCCCCACTTTTCATACATGGGTAAACAGAGTCACAGGCAGAATTAGGAATGACCTCTGTAGGGAACACACAATCGGGAGTCGGGAGCAGAACCTGGATCTCCAGCTTCTCCCAGGACCCACTAATTTGCTGTGACTCAAAGAAAGGTCCTTATGATTATGTTTTTATTAGTCCTTAAAAACGAGAGCAATACGAACAAGTCAGTATATATTTAGGAGTGTGTATTACCTATAAAAAATTGTGTGTGTGTGTGTTTGAGATGAGACTCCTTCAACTGTCCTCTTTTGCCAAAGGACTAGGACTGCCCATATTCTGAGAATGGCCTCCTAATTTCTTTTATTTAATGCCTGTCATTAATGAAGTGGGAGGGATGGGAAAACGATCATTTTTTAATGTCCATAGTCAGGAAAATATAAAGGGGCAGCCCCATGCCCTTTTCTAGAATTAGAAGTACACACACAGGCCCATGAAATCCAAAAGCCTAGACATTTTTGCTCTCCAGAACTCAACATCAGTCTCTTTTTATTTTTGCATTTTTCTGTGGCATTAGCATGGTTAGCTCTCAGCCAGAGACATGGATAAATTCACTCTGATCAATAACCCCTTCCCTTGGGGGCGGGAGTTGGACATGGTCTGTGGACATGGGTCCTTTGGGTTCTTTCCTGACACTGACAGCATGCTCCCTGCGGGCAGGTACCCAAATCCTGCTGGAGGCCTGTGCCCAGGCCAGTGTGCCCATCTTCATTTACACCAGCACCATAGAGGTGGCTGCACCCAACTCCTACAGGGAGACCATCCAGAATGCCTGCGAAGAGGAGCATCTCGAGACCTCGTGGTCGGCTGTGTACCCACGGAGCAAAAAGCTTGCCGAGAAGGCCGTGCTGGCAGCGAATGGGTGGGCCCTTAAAAATGGTGGCACCTTGTACACTTGCGCCTTAAGGCCCACGTACATCTATGGGGAAGGAAACCCATTCCTTCATGGCTTTATTGACCACGCCCTGAGAAACAATGGCATCCTGCCACGGAACAGCAAGTTCTCCATTGTCAACCCAGTCTATGTTGGCAACGCGGCCTGGGCCCACATCCTGGCCCTGAGGGCCCTGCGGGACCCTGAGAAAGCCCCCAACATCCAAGGACAGTTCTACTACATCTCAGATGACACACCTCACCAAAGTTACGACGAGCTCAACTACACTTTGAGCAAAGAATGGGGCTTCTCCCTTGACTCCGGAATGAGCCTGCCTGTATCCCTGAAGTACTGGCTTGGCTTCCTGCTGGAAATGGTGAGCTTCCTGCTCAGTCCCGTCTACAGGTATCAACCCCCCTTCGACCGCCACGCAGTGACACTGCTAAATAGTGTGTACACTTTCTCCTATAAGAAAGCTCAGCAAGAGCTGGGCTATGAGCCTCTCTTCAGCTGGGAGAAGGCCAAGCAGAACACCACGGAGTGGGTTGGCTCCCTGGTGGAGCAGCACAAGAAAGCCCTGAAAACAGAGACTCACTGAAGCGGACGTGGGTATTGCTAGAGGATGGCTGGCAAGCTCTCGCCTTCTGGTTTCATACAGGGAGCAACACGGCCCAGGTCCTGCTGCGTCCCTGTTACAAGATAGCAATCTTACTGTCTTCCCCCAGCCACTAGTCACTGGCCCAGCCAGGTCCTACCCGGCCTCCAGATCTGCTGCAGCTGCTGGTCCCAAAGTCTCAGTTGCTGATTCTGAGCTATTCGGGCCTCTTTTAATGTAGGCCTTTGCCTATTAACTCCATTCCCTTTGCTAACTGCAAACTCTTTTTAAAATTCCTATTCCTTCACCCAGCTCAGTGAAAAGAATAATAAATGTTTTAATGCCTAATCTGAAGGAAGTTGTGGTTTATGTGAATACATACCTTCCTCCTTTGGCCTCTATTTCCAGGTATCACCATCTCCCATGTACACCTATGGGGAAGGAAACGCATTCCTTCGTGGCTTTACTGACCACGCCCTGCATGGTGCCTGGAACTGGGCATGTGCCCTGACTGGGAAAGGAACAGACAGGGACCCAGAATCATACTTTCACTTCATTCATTCGGAATAGACGGACTTTCACAATCTTTACAGGAAAGGGAAGGGGATACTTAGTAGACTTAAGGTTCGGTGGCAAAGATAAAAACCATAAAAAGGGGGCATGTTAAAAATAAATAAAATAAACCAACCCAGGGCACACACTCAAAGCGGGCGAGGCAGCACCCGCACCACCCCC